AAAGACCACACGATAATAGCCCAACCAGTCCCACTCCTTCTCCGGGCTTCTTCTCCCTCCTCGTCATCAACCAATAATAGTAACAAGTCTGATAACTTCTAATCTCACAGAAGTGCCACCTGGCAGCACTCTCTCAAGGAGACAATGAAGACAGCCATCAGCGAACAATATCAATGTCGGCCTCAGGTAAGTATGCCGTTTCCCAGTCATCCACAGATCCCGGTCTTCCTCCTCCTCACAACCAGTCACCTCATGTAGACAGCATGGACAATGCCACGTCAGCAGTCGGGACAGGTGGCATGCACCACATCATCACGCAATGTAGACCAGAGGCAGCACCACATCATCATGCGATGTAGACCAGAGGCAGCGCCACATCATCATACAATGTAGACCAGAGGCAGCGCCACATCAGCATGCAGTGTAGACCAGAGGCAGCGAGCATAGCCGGGCGCACAGAACAAGAAGCGCCAGCATGCTGCCTCCACCTCGTGCCATCGTCCACAACGCCTGTGCACCGCCAGCCTCTAGCCAGCATCGTGCCAGCGTAAATGCCAGCGTCTAGTCAATGTCAAGCCAGCGTCAAAGCAGCATAGCAAGACTGAATGTTGACCCTCTCAAGGCCAGCCTTTAAGTAGCATTTGTCGAGGCTGTCTGGCCTCGAGTCCTGTTCCCTCAGTCGTCCAGATTGCCTCACAGTCGAGGGCCCCGATTGTGTACAGTTGCAGATTTCCCCTTGGACCTGAAGCTGTCTGGGTACCTGCATACAAACAAGTGTGTGTGCTTGACCGGCGGCCTGGGCTGGGTTCCTTCGGACTTTGACTGTTGGTGTCACGACAGTTGACAAAAGTCAACTGTCACACGTCCAGGCCCTAGGTCCTTGTGTGGGGTCTTTTTTCCCCCGTCTTTGGGCAAGTAGGCCCTCAGATATTCCACGAGAGATATGGTATGGGTTATTGCATTCCTGCCGGCCCAGGTTTCGAGTTCCATCGTAGAAAATACATCAATTCTCACTCAACCCACGTTCATATGCAGCAACAATGTCAAGAGCAGTAGATAGGAGTTCTTTCCTACTAAACCATCTGGCTTCAGATGGAGGCTGGGACTTGAACTTTACCTTGTACTGCTTCTGAGGTCTTCCTCTGCCACCTGTAGAGAAATAGCCACGTTCCAATATCTTTTCAACCTCATCACCTCCATCCACAGAGGGTGAAAACATAGATGGCATATTTGGAAAGTTATCACCTTCTACATAGGGCAGAAGCTTAGACACGTGGAAGACAGGGTATGCCCTTAGGTGTGGGGGTACATCAATGTGGTAAGAAGGTCCATCTGCATCTCCAATCACCTTGAGAACTTCCCAGGGTCCATAGTAGACGGGTAGCAGTTTCTAGACACATTTTCTTCTAAGGAAAACTATTTAGACTAAACCGAGACAAGATCTCCTTGAAATTGTGAAGGACGACAGTGTGTATTGGCTTGTTCAATCATTTGCAGTTGGCCTTTCTGTATGTTTTCCTTAACCTTTTTTATTTCCTCTTCATACAAAACTGTGAATTCTCGCGTACCTGGAGGTAGCCTCTGAATCTGGTCCCTTGTCAATGCGTCAATGGGACGCCTAGGCTTCCATCCTTTATGTTGTGCGTTAGGCGTTCTAACTATAACAATATGTATACTGTTATCATAGGCACTAGCATTTTTAGGCAAGTTCTCATCCCAATCAATTTGATCAGGTCGAACATACATTCGCAAAAGTTGTTGGCATAAACGATTCATTTGCTCAATTTGGCCATTCGTTTCAGGATGTCTGTCTGACGACATGGTCAACCTGGTCCCATAGACTTCCATCAACTTCTGCCATTGTAGAGTAGTGAATCGAACATCCCTATCAGAGACAATAGTTTTAGAAAATCCATACTCAGAGACCCATCGCAACTGAAACTTGTGGATATCTAGTTCGAATCTAGCTTCAACAGGCAAAGGAATGAACATAGCATACTTCGAGAACTTGTCCACGATGACCATTACCTGATTGTTGCCATTCCGACTCTTAGTCAGACTCGTAGAATCAATGGAAATAGACTCACCTGGCTCACTTGGAATAGGCAGTGGTCTCAGTAGTCCCATTAGATTCTCATGTGAGGGCTTGTTGCTCTGACAGACAAGACAAGTTCGCACATACGTTAGTACATCTTCCTTCATTCCTTCCCATTCAAATCATTCTCTGACATCGGCATGTCTTCTTAAAACCAAAGTGACCTTCCGCATCATGGCATTCTCCAATGATTAAACTCTTAATTTGTTCTTGATGAGGAATACACAATCTTTCTTCGGTTTTATTCAGAAAGAAGAGTAATCCATCAGACATTCGATATTTCGGGAATAACTCAGGGTTCTTTAGTAGAGTTCCAATAATGGGACTCCAAATAGGATCACTCCCATAACCTTCA